GCTGAAAGAGATTTGGCCACAGAACTGCCAATGGCATTAATGGGAATTGTGTGACTAAAGTCCTGCACATATTCAGTGGTCTGTATATAGTCTCCTCTCCTAGCTATTTATGGGTATATTGCTCATCGCAGCTCAAAGAAGAATTATATGAACAACCAGTATCATCGCTGACTTTTTATGTATAGGTTGATCCTTTACCAGTTTCCTATGACTGATAGTTTCCAAGAGACTACAAGAGAATAGTTAGTTCCTGTTCTTTCTCCTCTATTTTTTTCCCTTAGTAAGAAATATTCAGGGTGAGTTGTATGTGTGTGTTTAATAGCATTCATTCCCTAGAGAATAATCTCAGTCCTTGTTTTAGCTGGCCTCCTTCTGAGAGTGTGTTAAATCTGTAGCCAGGATCACAAGCAGCTCTGGGCAAATCACTGGGCTGTTATTAACCTGCCTCCATGGCAACTTCTGCTCACAAGCCTGAGGACAAAAAATGTTTTTATTCTGCTGAGCAGCACAAAAGATTCTAGTGATGTGTTAGACAAAATGGCCATTGAAAGCCAGATGCATTGATGTGTATTTGTAATGCCCGGTTTATATTTAAACTGTTTTACACTGCTGATGTGCTAGGGTGTATAGAGTGCTAAAAATTGCATGGTATTATCTGTGTGCAAAGTAAAGACAGAGCAGAATTTGTGCCAAACAGATTTTTTATTAACATGTTTTTAATAAACTTCCCAAATCATACTAAATACTACAACGTTGTTTACAGGATACCCAGCTTCAGCAGCAGAATGTGTTATCAACTTAGTCTGCTTATTTCATATTGATTTACAAATTTGCCACTGCTTTTCAGTTGTATGGTAACTCACTGCCTACTGATTCAGAAATATAGCAGAGTACAAGGCAAACTGCATCTAGAAAGATCAAATTCTCCAGGCCAGATTCTCAGCTGCCGTAACCTGACATAGCTCAGTAGACCAGCTGAAGTTCTGGACCTCCATGTTTAATGGAAATACTCCAATACTAGCCTAGAAAGTTTGGTAAGAAAAAATCCTTAATTTTGTCTGAACTAATAGTAGTACAGTAAAAGCTTTGTTATCCGGCATGTTGGGTGAATGGGGGGTGCCGGTTAGTCAAAAATTCCAGTTAACTAAGTTATACTTACCAATGGAATACCAATTTTCAAAGAATTAGAATACAATAAAATGAATCAAGTATAAAATAGTATACAGGTACTCACCAATCCAGCAGCAGTACTGCACTGCAGAATAGTTGGTTTCTTGAAGCACTTAGGTGTATACAGGTAACGTTTTCTATACAGTAGGGTTATCTTATGACACTACATATCACTATGGGCAGTGCATGGCGTTCACCCTTAACCCTTACACTTAACATTAAAAAGATAAGAAAAAGCGACAAAGAGTCCTGTGGCACCTTATAGACTAACAGAAGTATTGGAGCATAAGCTTTCGTGGGTGAATACCCACTTCGTCAGATGACATGCATCTGACGAAGTGGGTATTCACCCACGAAAGCTTATGTTCCAATACTTCTGTTAGTCTATAAGGTGCCACAGGACTTTGTCGCTTTTTACAGATCCACACTAACACGGCTACCCCTCTGATACTAAAAAGATACTGAACATAATTTAATCTTTGATGATTCAGAAGGCACTTCAGGATCTTGCAGTGCCTTAGGGTCATCATTATCAATATCAATTATCATTGTAGATGTAGAAGGTGTAGGAGATTGGGCTGAATCTGTAATGACCCTATGACACACCCTGGAAGCTGCTTTTCTGAATAAATCCCTGATATCAGCTTGCTTACTTGTCTTCTGCCTCTTTTGCATAAAAACAGAGTGCAGAATGTGCAATTGCATAACCTCCTGGGCAGTATACTAGTCCCAGTTACTAGACTGAAGATTTGTATTGGGAGATATCGGAAATGCCAGTTAATAGAGCTTTCTGGCTGATAAAGTGACGGATAACATAGCTCTTACTGTATCTGGTTTTGAAAAACTTCTCCTGGTTGTATTTTGGTAATCGTGGGTGTAAAAAATAAAATAAAATAGGAAAAAACCTCATACTAACAGGTTTCATTGATGTGAATGTAGGGTCTCCAAAAAGTACATTTTTTCTGTGTTACGGCAACGCTGCAAACATTCTTTAACTGGGTCATATTAAAATAAGGATTTTGGGGGGTCTGGCAGTCTAACGCCTCAAACAGGTGGTGTATATTCTGCAAAGCTGATACCCTTTGATAGGAACAGCTGTGTATAAACTCCATCATAAAAGTTGTTGACTGAACACGTGTACAGGCGTACACGCTGCCATGTCTAGCATGGAAATACGCCATTGACAGTATTTCCTTGTTTTGTTGAAAGCTAGGGCTGGGGGTGTATGTTTGCCCAAGGACCACAGAGAGGATGTATCCCAGTTATCCAGCTGGCCTAGAGGTAAAGGGTTGGTGGTTGCTGGGGCTCTGTTTTGTTTAATGTCTGGCTCGAAACAGCACAGTAGCTTTATGGACTTGATCAAGTGGGATCTTGGCAGTGATCTGCCCATGACACAGTGAAGGCCACCAGAAGGACGGTGCTGCCTTTTCTCTTGTGGAGTAGAGTGCTGTAGGAGGCCTGAGCCATAAACACTGTTGTCTACTCTAGACAAGAATTTGAAAGCTTTGGGGCATCCAGTGCTGGCAGTTTGAATACAAGGGGCTGTTGATGAAATGGTGTGATCTGCCTGAATGTGCGATCAAAAGAGATCGCCCCCCAAGTCCGGTGTATTTATTAATGCATGGCAAACTAGGCTGCACAGCATGGAGTGCCCAGTTCTACTGGAATGACCTAGATTTGTGAGTAACCTTTAGCCATGGGTCTATGTGGATTTAAGGGTTCTGCCAAGTTATTCTTCAGCACTATTTGCCTTTTGACCCACAGAGCAGCTTTGATGTTGACTCTGAAGGAGGCCAGACATCCTACCGTCCAGCATGAAAGATGATGTTATAATAGCAACAGGTTAAGAGGAGAAATCAGACTAATGCAGAGCCAGAATGATAAAATGAGGAGCTGCAGTGCCTGGGTTCTCCGACCAGTTAAACATCCACGAATCCTGTTTGAACAATGGAAAGGACTTGTGATTATATTGTTCCTTCTAAACTTGATTTGCAAATTTGCCATATCACCGGTGATCGCCCTGCAAGATCTGTCATTCTGAAGTTTGCTTTAGCTTCGGACCTCGATGATGATATGTACTATGGTTATTCTATTTCTTCCCACTGAGCTTTCTTTATGCTTCCTTTCCTTCCCGCCACCCCATCAGGCTGAGCAGTACGTCAAGCTGTCTGTATTCATTTTGTGGCATTCAAGGCACGAAGAGAGTTCCTTGCTGAATGGATTCCAGCTGTGGACTTGACTGTAAAAGCTTCCCCAGCTGGCTTCCATATAATTAAATCTTGTCTGCATTTACTGAAGTGGCATTTCATAAGACATCTAAGTAGCAATAGCTGTTTAAGCCTGACAGGGGCATTTGGTAAGAGATCGTTAAAACAAAGAGTTTTACATTGATAAAATGGTGAGAGGGTTTTCTGTTGTTGTACGCACATTACTTCCTAATGCCCCCTGGACGAGCCTGTTGCAAAACTCATTCATTACTTGGAAGATCAGGATGTTAGAAAAAATCCTGCTTCCTTTAGTAGGCCTAGATCTGCTCATCTTTTCTTGGCGTTTGAGACAGGAGTTATGATGTATGCACCACCCAATTGTCTCCATAAATTTTAAATGGTTAATGATTCATTTTGTACCATATATTGGAAGAAACAGGCTGTTTCTGTTACATTCAACACTGGTGGTTCCATTGAGCAGTATCCTAATGGTTTATACTTTGCACAATTGTATGCCACATACACTAATGATGAATGCTTAGCCAGTGTATTGCTATCACCCTGAAGCAATGAATTGATATAGATTGCCATTACCATTATAACACACTTACAGCTCTGTTTGTTTCCAATTCACATTACTCAGTCCTGCAAGCAAATGGATTTTCAAGCAGTGCCATCAGGAGGAATCCGATAGTTGCAACTGAATTTACCTTATCACAATGTCTCTGATTCTGTGGTGGTATAACTGTGGCCTTCATCCAGATGACACAGTACATCCAGTATTTTTCTATTAAATTGGAGACAAAACTATGCACTATGCTTTCTGAATAGTACAGTTTAGAGCTCACTATTCCTTTTGAAAAGGTAACTTCAGTCTCAATTTATTTGCCAAACATTCACTTGAACTTTTCCTCTTTCTATTTAACTATCAATTTTATCCTTTTAAAACTGATTCTCTTATTCCAAATAGTCTCCTTTTTGCCACTTCTCAGCCCCATTAGCTTTTATGTAGCTAAACTAGTTTATAAAATAGTTTTATATAATTTTGTTTTCAGGACATATATTAACTTTTCATAAAAATACAGTCCTTAGACCAAGTGTGCAGCAGCCAGATTTTGAAGACCCTGGAGTATATAACTCCTTCATTCAGTAGAAGTATAAAATACATTTTATCTTTCCCAAATGCTTTTGCTTCCTTGACTTACACTACTGCCATGCTCATTAAGCAACTGACACTTCATATTGTTATTACAAATAGTTTTTAAACGCAGTGTATTATATGAGAGCAGTCAGATCAGAGGGACTCACTTAGCCAAATGGATTTTTGTTTTTCAGTTGATGAGCCAATGACCTCTTCTTGATCTTGCAAAGATACGAGAATTCAACCCATTTTCACTTGTGTGTTTTGAGTTCACACAGACAAAGCTGAAGGTCATTGCTCTAGATGCAAGAAGACGACAATTCCTGCTCATCTGTTAGCTTTCCACATATCACTTTGCCAAATTATTTTTTTTTAATTTAGAGCCAGCCCCCACCGGTTGTACTAAATGAAAAGTGAATGTTCTTCTCATAATTTGCTGTTGTGCTTAATAATGTTTCCTTTGTTTCATCTTTTCTGCTTAGGTTGCTTTGAATGTTGCATTAAGTGCCTGGGAGGAGTTCCATATGCTTCACTGGTGGCAACCATTCTCTGCTTTTCTGGGGTAGCATTGTTTTGTGGCTGTGGTCATGTGGCTCTCACTGGAACCGTATCTATCCTTGAACAACACTTTTCCACAAACTCCAGTGACCATGCTTTGCTGAGTGAAGTGTAAGTATGCCCCTCTTCCATTACTTCATGAAAGAATTCCAGCAAAACACCCCATCATGCAAAACACAACTGAGATTAGAGATGGATCCAAACTCTGAGGCTTAGGCTCTTTTCTCTAAATAATATATACACCGCACAAAGTGTCTAGTGTTATCACTTCCATGCACGGAGATTCAGCATATAGTTTCAGCCTGAATGACTTCTTATGCTAGACAAAACAGGAAGAACAGGTGTAAAGTCCTAACGGGAACACAGTTTGTCTCCTCTGTAACAGCTGGATCTGAATCAAATACAAAATGTCAGCTGTTTCCAGCTGGTGGGAGGGCCCTAAAAATGTAGAGGAGCAGACTGTAGGAAACCAAATCATCACTGGTGCAGAGCTACGTGCATCATCGCTAGTAACTGATTATGGGGAAGGCAAACTATATGCAAACAAGAGTGACACTCACTCCTGTGAAGTGAGTCAGCCAGCTGTGATGGGACACCCTTGCTGCACTCTCCTTCATTCTGCACATGCTACAGAGCTACACTAGTCAGAGGCACAGTGCAGGACTGAGCCCTGTAGAATTTCAACTACATGAGCAATGCCCCCAGACCCATGATCAATAATAGGACAAGAGCAGGTTGTGAGGAGGGAAGTGCATTACTGTGCACAGAGTGCCCAAGAGCTTTGATCTGAGGCTGGAGAATCCTACTAGCAGTGGGATCACGTCCTGTGTTTCCTGGCCTAGCAAGGGATGGGAGCCCTGCATGCTCAGCTGTTGGAAGTAGGCAGGTAGAGCCCTTGTAACTATGCTTAGCTGCCCTCTTCTGCCAAGCCATTTCTTCTAGCCCCCAGCACGAGGCCATTGGTGTCGGGGGATTAAGAGGTGTGTTGGGTAGGATCCTGGTATGCTCCCCTGGTCATTTTTTACTTTAAGGCACATGGACTCTCAGAATTTCCCTGTCATCTTCCCCTCTTCTTGACAGCTCTCCCTGTACTTCATTTTATGAGCTACTGCTGGATCCCATTTATCGAGAAATAAAGCTTTTCTCCTCCAATCTTGTTCACCTGGCCCTTGATTGTCTGGTGACAATTTACCCTAGGTCAAGAGCTTATCTAATAGTATCTAAAAACCCGTTGACAAGGTGCTAGTATATTATGCATGCTATACACATGTATAGAGCCCCGCATGGATACAAAATTTGTATCTGCATCTGAGCCACACTTCACAGAAATGATCCGTGGATATCCATGGATTTGCAGGGCTCTACAAAGGCAGCAGAACCATAGCATGTATGGCGACGACATGTAGCATCACCAGCTGAGCTTCAGCAACTGAGTGAGTGTAACAAAGTCTAATGTGCAAAGTAACAGGGTTCATTTGTTTAACTGAAGAGGAAATCCAACCGACAGGGAGCAAGCTTTGCAAGAACTCTTGATAGCAACACATGGGAGAGAGCTGTTGTGACCAACTATCTATCAGCAACCATGGTTACAGTGGCACTGTTTCAGGGAAACGAGCAATTGGTACTTGAATTCCTATGGACACAGGCTGTGTGGAACCTAACGAGAAATACCAAGTGTTAATGGAAATAGACAAATCTAGTTGGAGGGGTTTAAAAGTACCTGCAGATATTTTTTAGTAGGTTAGCACTCCTGGCTTATATTTTTAACCATACTTGATATTCTTGTACCTTTGCTATGAAATTATGGATTCACTCCTGCACTGAAGAATTTGTTAAAATTGACTGTGATGCTCATTCGCATATTCTCAGGAAAATATCACATCATTTTCATGCACTGTAAAATATGTATGTAGATGAATTTGGGTAGGTGGTGTAAGAGGGGTGTGAATTTTGCAGCTGTTGATGCTGTCTCCTTACAGGCAACATGGCCCTTAGGAGTGAGCACAGAGCTAGGTGGCTAGAATATCCAGATTCTCTTCCAGCCTTTGCCACTTCAAGCATTTTGCTCCTACATATGTACCATAGCGCAAACATTAAGTTAAGGGTCACAACACCTTATGAAGTACAGAAATATCTCCATTTTGCAGGCATGGAACTGACACTCAAAGATCCATGACTATCCTAAATTCATACAGCCAGTCAGTGTAAGAAGCAAGATTAAAACCCAGATCTCTTGACTCCCAGGCAGGCCCTAGACCATTGTCCCTCTGGTGCACATCAGTTTCCACATCTGTAAAATGAGCATCATAAGGCTGGGACACACGCCCCTGACCCTCTTCTTTAAACAGATCCACAATATTTGAATAGATATTTGGCAGTATGAATTTGCTCATCCTTAATACAATCAGGTAAGACTGCTTTGTTTTAACATGACTCCAAGTCTGACTAACTTTTATTTCCTCTTCCATTTTAGCATACAGCTAATGCAGTATGTAATCTATGGCATTGCATCATTTTTTTTCTTATATGGAATAATCCTTTTGGCGGAAGGTTTTTATACAACAAGTGCTGTGAAGGAACTGCATGGTGAGTTCAAAACAACAGCCTGTGGCCGATGCATCAGTGGAATGGTGAGTACAGTACTGCAGCGGTCACCCAGCTACCCAAAGGAAGAATAGTAGCTGCCTTTTAATATTTTCTTCACATTAGCGAAGATCTTTGATCTGGCTTAGTTTGACTCTTATGCTGTTTCACCACAATGTTTTTGCCCAGTTAAACTTTTCATACCCACTGTGGAGGAAAAATTTTTCCACAACACCACAAAGAGAGAGGTATTCAGAATTGTGCACTGAGACCCATCTTGTCTTTGCACTTTGGGGAAGCTCAGCTGGATCCAAACTTTGCAGAATGAGTTATTTAGGTACTTACATGTTCTAAACTCAGCTTCATGGTTGTAGATTGTAAATTTTGTAATGCTCAACCCAGGTGCTAAGTACATTTGGGCCTTAAACAGTTGTGATGCTTGGAGTTGGCATTAGAGCAGTAGTACCCAGTCTGGGGCGTGCCTCCCTAGTGGGGGCATGGAGGAACATTCGGGTGGATGCAGGGGGGCCCAGGCCTTCCCTCATGTGGGGAGGGAAGGGAGCGCCACCCCGCCTCACTCTGCCTTCAGCCCCACCTGCAGCTTCGGCTTCCAATCGCAGCTCGGGCTGAGAGCAGAGTGGGGTGGGGTGGGGTGGTGCTCCACATGAGGGCAGGCCTGGACAGGTTCCATTACAGGTAAGGAGGAGCACAACAGAAGAAGTTTGGGAACTATGGCATTAGAGACTCTTAGAGTAGTACTACAAAACTCTTCGAGAGTAGAGTTTATGCAGGATTATTTTAAAAAATAGTAAAACTTTAAATTTGTATAGTGCATTCCACCTGAGAGCCACAAAGTCCTTCAAATATCAATGAATCAAGCTTCACAAAACCCCTGAAAGCTAGACAAGTATTACTGTCCCATTTTTACAGATGAGAAACCAAGGCATAGAGAGAAAGCAACTGACTCAAGATTGCATACAAAGGGAATAGCATGTTTGTATTGAACAAAGAGTAATTTTTCAACTGCGTTATTTAATACACTTTTTTCAAAAAGCTAATATTAAATTAAGTCAGTTAGGTCATTTTTAATTTTAGAAGCATTTTATTTTCTGGCAAGTGTGACATTAACAAGATGACAACTGAATTATATCTAAGGCTTTATTTTCCAAAGGTCAGGAATGCAAAAATGCCTATACATTTGCACATCTCACTTTGAGTGCATAATTACCTGTGCATGTTAGTTAACTGCAATCACATAAGTGACTATTCATCTCCTTATGCATATACCTATGTTGCATGCAACTGTGATAAATGCATGTTCAAATGAGGCGCAAAAATGTAGTTTTTCCTGACTTTGAAAAATCTGACCACTCTTTTACTGTAGTAGCAGAGGTAGAAATTGCAACAAATATGCTAATTGAACCATCATAAAATGTGGGAATTTAGAAGTGACAAGTAGTAATAAGAGTTCTAAGAAGATACATTAACAATTAAAATGATGTTACTAATTGAACATAAAAAGGGAAATGTCTGTGTAACATTACAGATCTAGGCAATTATAATTTGTATGTAATTGTTGCCAGTGCAGCCAGCTCCCTCTTCCCATGCTGCTGATTCAGTTCTAGCAGATATGTTAGATTTCCAAGCTTCCAGAATGATTGATTGTTGGATGCCAGTGCTATAAAGAGGAGTCATATCAGATCATCATTAAGACTGCATTTTTCCTGGCCATCATAGGAGTCGAGGATTCCATAATATTCATGTTGTGTTTAAAAAACAACAACAACAACAACAAAAAACACACACAACCTGCCAGCCCCCCCTCCCTCCCCCCCCCCCCCCCCCCCCCCCCACCATCATATCCTTACTGAAGTCAATGGGAATACTTCTGGAGTGAAGTACTGTTTAGTATGAATAAAGAGTCTGGTCCTATAGAAATAGACACCCATGACCTTTAGGCCTTTTGCAAGCACCTGCCTTCCCTCCCCCCCCTCCCCCCCCACGGCTTCTCTGCCTTTTTGTTCCACTGCAAAATCCATCCCACCAATCAACCCTGGGTTATCCAGTCTCTCTTTGCCTTGCTCCCATGCTGCTTAGTGTCTCTGGACAAAGTCCCATGACCATGTGGACTTTCTCCACTACAAATTTGCTCTGTCTTTCAGCTCTCCCATCAGCTTGACTGAGCAATACTCTTCTCCCTCAGTGACTCCCCCTCAACCCCAACCCTCCTTCCTCTTAACTTTCTTTTGGATCACTCTTTTCCTCATTAAACTAACCCATGCAGCCACTCAGATGCTCCTGTCCTTCAGATCCATTTCTACAGTAATGCTCATGGAGAACTGCCCCCGACAATGGCCTAGTAGAGGGCCATGGAGATTCTGATAGCTAGTTTATTTATGTTTTGTAGTTTAAAAAACCTCCTTTTTGATTTGGAAGCATTGAGTGGTACACATAGCTGGTCTGTGTACCGACAGGTTACCATCACTCTTAGCTTTGTCTTCCTTCCCAAGGCCCTCCATTTGTTTCTCACACCCTCTTGATTGCCTTGTCTCACACTAGACTGTAAGCTCTTCAGGCCATGGGCTTTCTATTCTGTTTGTACAGTGGCTAACGCTACTGGTCCCAAGTCCCAACTGGAAGACTGGGGCACTACTGAAATACTACTGCTAAAGTGGACGACTGTGATAGTAGATAGTCTGGAACCAGTTTCACTGATGCTGAGTTCTGCTAAGTTAAACGCTGAACTGCACAGGAGGCCAATACAACTGGAGAGGCCAAGGCAGTTACATTTCAGTAACAGCTTTAATTCCTCCAAGGCTGCTGAGGTTGAGGTAGGCTGGGTTTACAAAGGTCTGGCCTGGCATCACAGTCTCGCATCTATTTATGGTCACTGCTGCCAAAGCAAAGTTTGGCTACATGCTAAAATGGGAAAAAAGGTAATTTTACGTACAAAACAATGCCCATGTGGGATGCTCCCCTGGGGTCCTGAGATACCTTGCAACTACATACCCTTAGCGTGAAGCAATCTTCTTTATGCCTACTGTGGTTCAGCTCCCTGAAACCAACAGCTTCTGTCCACCAAGCAGTTACTTCCAGGTCTCACCGCAGACCTTGCCCTCCCTGTGCAGGTTAGTGCTAAGTACACACCAAACCCCGAGTCCTCCTTGCAGCATCCAGCCCCGTCACTAGCCACTCATGGTAATTACCAGGCAAACAGTCCCCAAAGAGACAGTGTACACACTGAGTGGTACAATTCAGGATCAGGTCCTTTATAACAAACCAGCACTAGAATCTACTTACTATAAATACAAATATGTTTATTTACAAAGATTAAGATTTAAGAGATAGTGAGCAAGGATAATGAGAACAAGTTCTATCTTACAGTCTAAACTTAACTGTAACAGGCTAAAATTCTTGTCTAAAGCAGTTTCTCACATAAAGCAACCTCTCACTGTCACTAGCCCACGTGGCCAGGATCCAATTTTCATGAATGCAAAAAGTGCGGTCCTATTAGCTTCCTCAGTGAAGGATGACAAAATGTCTTTTTGCTTCTTATATTTCCCCAAACTCATTGTTTTCTCCCCCGAAGACAGGATGATCCCTGTGGTTTCTTTCCAGGGATGCTGGCTCTAAGGTGTCTTCCCTTGCTCCTGTTTGTTTCACATCCCGCTTTGACCTGTTTTTCCTGTTGACTTTCACAGGGGTTTCCATTGCGTTGGCTTTACAATACTTAATCTACGTAGGAATCTAGGGAGAAATCTGAAAATACGTCCCTTTGTCTGGCAAAACCAGTTTTTCACCTCTGTACCTTAATACAAACTAGGAGGACGTATTTTCAGTACCTAGATATAACTTTTACAATATAATTGGTACATACGTTTCAATTAAGCTAGAGATACAGGACTAGTGCCTTCTAAATGTATTATTTATACGTATCAGGGTAGTGAACAGAGGTCTCAACCAGAACCAGGGCTTCGCTGGGCTAGGCACTAACTATACACAAAAGTAAAAAACAACCCCCTCTTCCCCCCCCCCCCCCCAAAACCCAGTTCCTGCCCTGCAGTGTTCACCACTTAAATTGTAACGACACAAACAGCTCCCTCTCCCAATTCCCTACTGTGGCCCAGTGCTGCGGGCAGTCGGGGGTGTGTGTGTGTGTGTGTGTGTGTGTGTGTGTGTGTGTGAGGAAAGCCGAGAACAGGCGGGGGCGGCGGGGGGAGCGGGGGGGGGGGGGGGGGGGGGGGGGGCAGAGTGCAGGGTCCCGACTGAAGATTGATCGGGACGCGGGAGAAACGCCTAAATATCTGGATGGTCCCGATTGTATCGGGACGTCTGGTCACCCTACGCAGGAAGTCTGCGGTAGAGCATGGAACTGAATCCGATCTCCAGAAGCCCAGACCAGTGTGTTAACCACACCTCTCTAATGATGCTCTCTACATGCTCTCTAAAGCAAAATTTAGTCTAGCAAACAATTCAGAACATAAAATAAAATTAGGGGCCGTTCCAAAGCCAAAATCTAGTGTAGTATCTGTTTAATATCTCAGACATCCTCTGCAACGATATTAAATCCTGCCAAAGGAGGGATTCTAGATGTTTCATCTCATGTCTATGATCTTTTGTCTTGTTAATTTAAAACATTTTTAAACAGCTTGTCTTAGTTGATATACCCCTGCTAGGGTTTCTGGTGTCTCATTTTAGGAACCCAGATTAATTTTTCAGGAGACAAAAATGGGTTTCCTTAAATTTATGTTCAGAATTGACCCCACCATATCTCCAGAGAGATGTGCATGGTTTGATCCCCCTGCATAGTGTACAGCTGGCAAGAATTAGAGAATTTCTTGTATTTCTGGTATATAATTGATTTTTTAAAATCTGTTATATTTGATTTGTTGGCATTTACTGGTTTTAACTTAAAATCAGAATTCCTGTTTCAGTTTAGAATTCTTCTAACTGTGATTAATAAACTGCTCTTTCAGAAGACCAAGCTGTTTACTCAAGCAGATTAAAAATGGAGCATTTGAGTCTTACATGTTCACTACTGCCTTTGAGCCAAGTATTTGTTTAAAGAAAACAGCAAGCAAGAAATGAGAAATGCTGGCCTGGTCATTTTCCTACTGCCCAAAAGATCCTATTTACAAGGAAAAAATTGTATGGCAACTGGCTTTTAATATTTAACTTCCTGAAAATGACTTGTAGGAGCTTATTTAAAATATAGATACCCCTCCCCCCGGAGAGAGCATATTCATTCTGTTCACTTCAGAGAATTAAACTTGAAATGTGTTTTCTCTGCCCAGTTTGTTTTCCTCACATATGTGCTTGGAGTGTCCTGGCTTGGGGTCTTTGGCTTTTCTGCTGTGCCTGTCTTTATGTTCTATAACATATGGTCAACTTGTGAAGTCATCAAATCACTCCAGACAAATATGACCGCTTCAGGGGACCAGATCTGCGTGGATGTCAGGCAATACGGTACTTATTTTAATCCTGATTAAATTCTTTATTCTCTTTCCTTGTGCTATCTTCAGTTGGTTTGTCTGTCTTATCAGATGAACCAAAAAGCAGAGTATGGCATCTCTGAAAATGCCATTACTTTTTCAATTCATGCAGTTTATACTAACCTTCTTCCAGATGCATTCAGTTTAACTGAACAGGCAAATCATGTATCTCAACTGATTTTGTAGCTGTTACCCATATTTATTATATCAGGTTTAAATATATAACAATCTCAAAATAAAATGCTTCAGAACAAAGTGGATACAAATTGATTTTTTTTTAAATATAAAAAAACTGAATTTATATTTAATTTTTTTCTTTTAAACAGATTTTTAAAATTTGAAATTATGACAACCTATTTTAAGGCCTAAACTTACAATAATCTATTAAAATAATTTAAGTAATAAAATGCTGCAACAATGAACCATCCTCAAATTAATTAATTATTGGAAGGGTGCTGCTTTTTTCACTATATACAGAATCAGTCAAAAAATATTTAACTTTCAAGGTCAACTCAAGCTTTGTAAATGTTACATTAAAATAATACATTAAGTAAGCATCTGTATTATTTTCAGCCTCTACCGTGGGGTGACTGTAAGTCCAGTTGTTTGTGCAGAAAAGCTTTTGTCTTATTTCTTTTTGATTTCAGTTTAGTTAGCAGGTTCAGAGAGAATATTTTTTTCATTTGGACTAGTTCATTCAAACTTGACAAACCCACTGGTAGTTGAAAGCAGGTCAACTTGTTTTCCTCTTCCAATCTATGAATAAAAACAAGGTGATAGAGGATGAGATCTACTAACTCTAAAAACATGAAGGACATGGAGCCAGATTTTCAAAAGGTATTTAAGACACCTGAAGATGCAGATAGGCACCTAACCTGCTATGGCACTTTCAAAAATTCCATTAGGCACCTAACTCTCATTGAAAATGATGGGAGGTAGGTGCCTCATGGGATTTTCAAGAGCCCCTAAGCAATTTAAGTACCTCACTCATTTATTTCAATGAGAGTGAGGTGCCTCGTGCGATTTTCAAAAGTGCTGTGGCAGGTTAGGTGCCTATCTGCATCTTTAAGCACCTAAATACCTTTGACAGTCTGGCCCATGGTGACCAGAAACATTCTGTTAATTCAATAACTAAAATGAATGATCTTTATTTAATAACTCAGTTTTAAATGCAAAGCATTTTAAGCTTATTTATTGTATGTATCCAGCAGTTTAATTTTATTTAACTAGTAAAAAAATATATTTCAAATGCTGTTTTTGTACATTTAATTGAATTCCAATTTCCATCTAATTGCAAAAACCCAGAGTAAAAAAAAAAAAAAATCTTCATCTAGTTGATAAATGCATCATTTACCAACTCCATCCAAATGCAACTTGTCAAAAATCCAGAATAAAATTTTATTCAGTGTAAATGTGCAAGAATCCAAATATGCACATCAGAATTGAACAATCACATTCAGTACATGTGTCTTTGACTAAGGAATCATTAGTACCCCGCCACAGTATTTACTTGGCTTGGTGCTGTGTATTTTGGAATTGCAAAGCAGAACTAGAAGTGGTTATGGAGTAAATCCTGTGACGCTTTTTCTGCAGCTGTACCATGAATTTAAGATAAATTCATGTTCAGACAGTCTGCCCTTGCCACAACCACTAATTCCAACCAGCAGAGTTTGAAGGGCTTTAATAGTGTTGAAAACTCTTCTTTAAATTGTATTGTGAAGACAGACAATAATATATTTTAAAGTGATCAGCTGCAGATTAAAACTAACACGGCCAGGCCTACAAAATGAATTGAAAAACATGCTTGCAGTATATTTTAAATGAAAGATATTTACCTGTATTTAAGATTTACATCTGTTATGGGCCTAAAAGTTTAAACATTTAGAATCTTCCAGATCTCATTTACTTTAAAAACCAATAAGGTCAGTAAATGAGCATCTTGTTCATTATGGGGGTGAAAGGGGTCTGCAAGTATTGGATTTATACGTACCAGGGTTCACCTAAAATGTTTTCTACCCATTGGAAATGAAACAGGAAATACTGTGTTTTTGTAATACTTCCCTACCACCAACTACACCAAAATAATGAAACCTTACTCAAGTGGTGTTTTGGCCTAGTAAGGACTTCAGTATTGAGCCCAATTCTGAAAGGTGCCACGTACCTTTTGAGAGGCAAATTGCCCCTCGTAATCGGGGGAGTTGGGCGTGCTCACATATGATAGGCCAACAGTGAGTAAAATCACCATTTGGCTGCCATATGGGAAACCTACATCTGAGAACATTTGGCAAGCAGCAGCTAGTCTTGGTGTATGGAGAATGCACAATCTGAGCGATTTCTTTGTAGTTTCTCCTGCCAACTCAAAGCTGTACTGGTCAATGTGTGGGTGCATCATAAGGGAACACAACTGGCACGTGGGTGGGGAGGAATAAGATTTGAGAGGAATGGAAGGTTATGCGTTGGCTGTTTAGAACTAACTGTACATTTTGCTCTGGCGTTGTCATTTCAGGTATCATCCCTTGGAATGCTGTACCAGGCAGGGCTTGTGGTCCAATTTTAGAGAACATCTGCAACACAAATGAGGTACAATAACAAATTACAGGGCTATTGCAGAAGCCAAAGAAAGTCATATTGGAAGATAAATGTGTTTTTCAGAAGCCTCTACTAACATGCCAAAACCACCATCTATGCAACAGTGGCAAATATCAATATTGTTAACATCTTTCTTCCTGCCATCCAAAGCCAGAAAAAAAACTGTTCTCTAACCAATTTTTTTAAAAGTCTTCTGGGCTACCTGTTCTGTAAATAACCAGTAATATAAATAGAGCAATAGAGAAAATTTTTTTTTTTTAAGAATTGGCCGTGTTTGCCATTTTAATGCAGAACTCTAACAGATTCAATTGTATTTTCCTCTAATCATTAAAATATTTGTTTTAATCTCTTCTTTTCTAGTTCTACATGTCCTATCACCTGTTCATCGTGGCCTGTGCTGGAGCTGGTGCCACTGTCATAGCCCTGGTGGGTAACATCCTCCATATTTCTAATGAAACTTAACACACTCCTTTCAGCTTTTAATAAGATATTAAACACCTTGAAAACAGAGATACCTCAAAGAAAACAGAGTGACCTGTTGCACTTAAGCTTGTAGAATAGTCACCATTATTTAGGTGCATTGCACCACAATGTAGCTTTCTTAAATTAGAACATCCATCATAAAGGCAAGCAAACTTTGAGGGGATAATATTTTGAATAGAACTTTGCTTATTGCAACTCTTTTAATAGCATTTGATAAATTACTCTGTTTGTAGTTTGCAATTCCAGTTTGACTCCGGATGGGGCAAGGCCCAACTCTGGTAATTTCAAGCCAGAAAAATCCCAAATTCTGGCCATAAGAAGTTAGGTTTTTTATTCTTTAGAAATAACCAAACTTCTTGACTCCTCTTTTCTTCTGAAATATCCTGCTTCTCGGATTCTTAAACTTGAGCCATTTCTCTCCCTTTTTTTTGTTTCGCAGTGAAGGGTAGTATGTAAACCTGTTACTCTGCTTGTCTGAACCTAGGACACTTGGGGTCAGGTCACTGGTACTGGGCCTACAAAAGCTACTTAGGCAGCAAGTGGAAACGTAGCTACTAACAAGATGGCATGTTTCACTTTTTTTCTTACAGTAAGGGACTATTGGAACGATCAACTTTTAACATCGCATTAGCCAAATTCAGGGGTGATATTCACTATTCTTCCACTGTAGCTGCCCCAGGCCAGACTGTAGAATGTATCTAAAACTGAGTAGCAAAATATTTGCTTAGTACAAGTCTTGAATCATCATCTGAGACAGTTATGTCTGTCATAGAATTGATCGAAAAATTGCTTGAAGAGGGCTTGAGCCGTCAGCTTATTGTATCTTACTCTCCTGTATTTTGTTCTTTTCCACCAGCTGATCTACATGATGGCTACCACATATAACTATGCTGTTTTGAAGTTTAAGAGTCGGGAAGATTGCTGCACTAAATTCTAAATTGCATAAGCCCAGTAAAGAGCTGCATGTGTAGCCTGAAATACCACTGACACTCTAGACTAAGAGTCTAGCTTTTCAATTTTGTTACAGTAATTTGTAAATAGCTTCAGTAAGCATCGTTTAGCATATCAGATTAATAAAATGACTTATTGTATATGAATTTTGATGTGGATGAGATCTGGCTATTTTCTAAACGTTGAGAGGATTCAGTTACTTTAGTTGTTGCAAATCATTCTCTGAAGACAGGAGTTATTAAATGAAAGACATCCTAACAGTTATCTCTCAAACAAATTTTTAAATGGCAGTGATTATTATTTTTCTCTCTCTTGTGCACTAGTTTCAATAGTAAGAATAAAGCATACATTATAGATGGTGTACAAGGGACCAGGTTGATTAGAATAGTGCCAGTACATAGCTGTTTGACTGACATACACTACCATGTGTTTACAAATGTATTTTTTTTTAAAAGGCTCCCTATACATTTGCCAGTATTTCCAATGTATGGATGACAGTCACAAGGTACAGCCTATTAGTGAGGCTTCAGGAAACTCTACAAGAATTGAAACTTCAATACTAAATTTTCAAGTAACTGCCAAATCATGCTTTCTCTGGAAAAAGAAAATACCATTCTATAGCGCTGCGTAAAACAATCACTTTCCTTTTTGGACCCCAAACTGACTGTAAGAAACAGCATTTAGGTAACTTTTGTGCTGGTACTGTTTATGAAGTAGTAACTGATTTCTCAGTAGCCAGATCTCAAAATATAAGTTTGACTGTATGGGAAGTGAAACTGTGCATAGACCAACACTGTTGAAAGGGCACAAAAGAATCAAGGTGTTTTCAGATGTAGATTTTTCTTGCATGAAATTTGGTGAAAAGAAGATGGCAAGAGATTTTTACTGTGCAAACTGAAACAATTTCTATATATGCTCAAACTTTACCTGAAAGTAGAAAATGGCATTTTTATAACTTTTTTTTTTTTTTTTTTAACTCCCACCACTCAGATTTGTTAACTCAGCCTGCATGTTTTTACTTATAGTTTCGGACTCACATTTCCTTATTTAATTTCCCCACATTAAAATGTAGCTTTTTATTATTCATAGTAAACAATGTTTACAATTTTAGGCTTCTTTGGGGGGGTTGAATGGGACGGGAGGGAAATCTCACCAGAATCTTTGCACTACATGTGTTTAAAGAAAAACACCACAAACTTAAGCATCAGTTATCAACTCTAAGCTTCAGAGTATATATTTGCCAAATGCAAAAAAGCTGCTTATATTTTTGCTTCCTTTTTTCCTGTGTTGCATTTTAACAGATCAGTAAAACTCTTTAGCTCATTTTTACTACTTCTGCATACTAACACACTCTAGCTAGTTTTTAATAAGCAAACTAGAAGCTAAGCATGCAAAATTCTAGAAGTCAATTGAAATGAGCCTCTGTGCTGTTTAATAGCAGAATGCTTATTAATGTAGAATAACTTTTGTTTAATGAACGTCTTAATCTGACTAGCAGCTCGCTTTGCCTCTTGACATGCTCACTAGCCATCATGCTCACCCTTCTCTTCCAGATCCACTTCCTCATGATACTGTCTTCTAACTGGGCCTACTTAAAGGATGCAAGCAAAATGCAAGCTTACCAAGATATCAAAGCAAAAGAAGAGCAGGAGCTTCAAGATATCCAGTCTCGGTCAAAAGAGCAACTCAATTCTTACACATAAAAGTTTGCCAGAGTAATTCAACAGAAGAATTGTGTAGTTCTGACAAATCGTCAAACAGCTGCTCTGCAGTACAGATGTATGTCTACCAAACAATCTAATACAGAAGTGTAAAAACTTCACATTCAAGCTCCTGGAACATGTTCAAAGGGAAACCTTCCAGTGGGTAACCTTCCTTTCTTTAGTACAGATTTAAGAGGTTTCAGGTCCAGCCATTTTAAAAGGCAACACTTTGTAACAAGTGACCAATCAGTCATCCTTTTGAGACTCTTGGTATTTATTCTTGTGGCCTAAAGCGCATCCACAAAATTGTAGTGGGTGACCCAAAACAGCAAGTAGCAGGAGATTTATGGCCATAAATAATTGCACAGTTATGAGATGTGATAAAACAATTATCCCAGTTCTATACCAAATGAAACTGTGGCTAGCTCATCAGATTTCTCATAGCTCATGTTTATTTACTGATACAATCTCAGCATGTAATAAACCAGCTGATTCATAAAAGGGCAAGTGTCTAACTAAAAACACCTTTTTTATGGGCTGAAGACCAGAAGTCCATTTTCAGAGCCACATCTTTTTCAATAATGCTATAGTGAGCCACTGTCACTCTACTGCACTTACTATCTGCGTAAGCTGGGTGCTGAGTAATTGCTCAGCTGCTCCAAGTTTTAATTATTTTTATTAATTGATGGAATGTAGATGCCTGTCAGGATAATGATCCCCTTCTTTGAAAATAAATGTCAGCTTTGCCTTAATATTTATTTTCTATAAATGTCTTAGCATTTATATAGTAGCAGGAGACCATTATCTGTATTATTAAGCAAAAGGTGTTACCTTATTAAAATGAAACTGATTTGACTATTCCAAATGAGCAGACTAGTGAATTTGCAGAGTTTCACATAAGCTATAAAAAAAAATACAGCCATAAAGCAGACCACTGGTCAGCCACCTTTCTCTACTTCGGTGCTTAAGTTTATAGCCAGTGCTTATTCATTTTCTCTTTATAAATCACAAAAAGCAAGTGTGGTGTTCAGCAAAAAATCTGGTGCCGTGTTAAAGTCATTTCCCACAGCAGTCTGCCTTCATTTTGTTTTTTTCAGAAATATTCAGTGATATCTTGAGTATTAGTGATGGGTATAGTTGGTGTTTGTTCTTTACAAAATATATATAAGTATGGGGGGGTAATCAAGTATCAGTCATTTGAAAAAAAATTAAATGGTAAAGTCAAGTTATATTCCCATGTTAAGTTAATGTGTGGTTTGATTAGTTTTGACTGTTGGCTGAATATTAAAATAAAAAGGAAGCACAAATTTCTTTAGCTAAGTCAATATTAAGATGTGGACAGACATTTTTCAAGTATTACCTTACAGTTGAATTTTTTGGTTAAATGCCTAAAAGCCTAATTTGACAGTTTTTAAAAAAGGGGCAAAAAGTGTATGTAGAGCAGATGACAGTGTAGCCTAGTGTTTGTTTTACCTGTTGCATGAAAGAGAAACATTTCTACAGCAATGCAGGTGATGTTCTAGCCCAGTGTTTGCATAAGGGTAATGGAGGCAGTGTCTTAAATCCTAATTCTTTTCTAGTTCGATGTAGCTATTACTGGGAGTTTTCTGAAGTTTTGTTTAAGTAGTCTAATATTTTTATGTAAAGAGCATTAAATTTTGCTATGTATAAATTTTTGTAACCTAACAGTGAATCAATATTTTCTATCAGTGCCAAGGGCTTCCTGTAGCTATATCCAAGTGTTACAATAAATATTTGTAGATAATAGACACACCATTTGTCTATACTTATTTTAAGACTTTTTAGACAGTTATAGCTGTACAAACAATGAGAAAGTTACTTTATTTGGATGAATTCTACATCTTACAACTTTTGAATTTATCTCTGATAAGTTCATCCTGAGTAAAATAATTCAATATTTATTGAATATATCACCAGATTGGGGAGAAATGCTACCAGGACTTTGCTTCTAGGTGGCATGCCACAGGCTGTAGATGTTTCCAGTGTGATAATAGCCCACAACTGCTACAGCATTTTAAAGAACAAATTAAAGTCGCATCATGCACCAAAGTGCTTTTCATAAGTTCTTAAAATCAAACTAATACCCTGGGCAGTAAACATATAGGACAGAAGACCATGTGCATGATGTAATTATTTGTCTTCATATTTGGTTCTCGAGCGTTATACAAAATTGGAAATGTCCCTACCTCTCAATGCTCAGCTGCTATCCCAAATCACTGGGCTCTGCTGTGAAGTTACCTGTAAATATCCTCTTGAGCTAAATATTAATTTACTAAAAAAAGTTAGTTAAAGCAGAGAAATGACATTTCTTTCCTTCAATTTGCTTTTTTTAAAGGGATACAAACTTTTAAGTATGGCCAACTTGACTTCCCAAGTGTGACTGTGGCTGAATGAAGAATCAGTCAATGTTAATTATTACACATCTCATGCACTCAGTTTTACAGAAAGAGATTGCTAACCCTGCAACCACCTGAGAGTCAAGCTAGGGTTTTCTCCTTGTTACACGTTATCAGTAACCATGGCCTAAATCAAGTACACTACTAGTTGCACCTTCACTATACCTACTGTATAGTACAGTGGTTCTCAAACTTATTTGATTATGCCCCCTTTCTTTGTGGCTGTAGTAGTTTACACCTCCTGCCACACAAGTACATATACGGATCGATGCAGCGGCAGTGCTTCACTTCAGTCAGTTTCAGCTTCTTTTTCTTCACTTGAAGTATTATGTTTCTGTTGCAGGAGTGAGCCAACAAGCCATTGTAATAAGAGCAAAAGCAAAACTGTGATTGTGGTCCATGCTTATAATTTAATCCATTTGCTATGATGTGGTGTGTGCATTTATGTAAAGTTTATACACAGTTGTTGCCATCTGAACAGAAATGCACAGCACTAACTGAGGACCTGATCAATCTGGAGAAGTCAGCTTTGCTAGTTATTTATTGCTGGTGGTAAAATGTGCAACGAAAGGGGTCCCCCACCCCCCCAAAAAATCTCATTCTTTCTCCCCCAGAATACATTCCCTGCTCCCTAGTTTGAGAACCTCTGGAGTAGTACATATTGCTGCTTTAAAATATTTACCCACAAACCAAATAGTACTTCTATATTACATTTATTACTAATTAGAAATTCTGTACCTCAATAATGAGAACGTGTCAGAGTACAGGTGACATTTTATTATAAAATACCAGAACAGTCTATAAAATGCAAACCTAAAAAAATGTAGAAGATTAAGACAGTTGTGCTTGTACCCTCTCTTATTGAATATTTAAGATACCAGCAGTGAAACAGCATGAAGCTCACCTTTTAAAAAATGTATTTTTCTTCCCCCGTCTTGCTGCTGCTTTAGAAAAGTACTTAAACAAGTTATCTCCAGTGAAAAACTACACTAATCTAAAGGTGGTCTCAAAGAAATAGTTATCAGGTATCTATCAGAACGCATTAAAAATTGTAATCATAATCGACATATCTGAGCCCTTGTGTCACAGATAGTCTTCTTGACGTGCCATTTGTGAAACCAGCAATATAAGCATGCTGGAAAAGACACTCACTTTCAAATCTACTTACTCTGAATTTTCATTTTTATCATTTAATCTTTAAAACTCTTCTCTTAAGGCAGGATGGTATTTTTTAAAAGCCACCTAATTTACCTGAAAAAATGTTGAACTGCTTTACATCCTAATAGAATAGGC